CCCCAAAACCCCAAAACCCCAAAACCCCACGATGATGATCATGAGATTAAATAATGTTAAAATAATTAATATAACATTGAAATGAAATTTTGCATTCTTTCTGGAAAGGCAAACTTATTATTTATAAATATCTTTTTGATTGGAATTTTCCTCTCTGCAAATGTGGATGCCTAGCTCACACCTAAAAGCTTTGATGGAAGTTGCTTTGGATGCATTTTCAATAATTTTAGATACTGTTCCTTCAACTAAACTTGCATCCCAGGTACAGAATCATGTCCGTCAAGAAATATAATGTATACTAATGTTACAGGCTGCCCTGTGATATCAAAATGTAAAGTTGGAGTAAATGGAATGATTAGTCTTGACGGTAATCCAATTGTTATGAAGGATGCAGCCATAAACACTACAAAGGATGGCTCAATGAAAATCTTAGCTCCTTAAGGTAACCCCTGTTCTCTTGTCATCTAGAATAACAGAGTCTCTGATCTAACTCTATAAATTTCAGGACCAAATGTAGCTGCCGAACTGGTAAAAATAGATATGACAAAGCAATCTCAAATTTAGAAAACCTATGCATACACTTCCTTTACGATATTCAAATTAAAGCCAGCAGATGATTTCATGGTTATGTATATTGGCTCAATAGATCCCAAAGGTGATGGAGATCTCATCTTCTCTTGGAAGAATGACCAAGTATTTGGTCTCGATAGCATCCTTAATATGAAACTATTATATTCAGTCAGTTTAGGTTTGACCCTCTTAATCTCAATATTATGAACACCAGCTAATAATTATGATTTTATTTTAATTTCTTTATATCTTTAATTGATAATAAACAAGTATTAACAAAAATGAAACCTAAGTAAACTAAGTACGACTATGTCGCCTATCTTAAGAAAACTGGAGTCTATGATCTTGTATAAGAGTCTTTAAAATAAACTGCAGTCAATAGACCTCTTGATCCAATAAGATTCATAGCAGCCTATCTGCAAGAAAGAGCAGAGGATTATGAAAATGTTGGATTAAATCATGGAAACGGTCCATCAGGGAATGCAAATTTGCAACCGTCTGATGTGAGTAAAGGGTCTTCTGATAATTCCAAGGTTAAGAAGAATAACAATCCTGTTGAATAGGAGTCTGTGTATGGTGTTGATCAACCAGTCAAGTTAGGCTAACCCAGAAACAAGGAACCAGAGAAGCGTAAAATCTTAGACTAAAATAAATTCAAGACTAATAGGCAACTAGTCCATATCTAAGATCCAACTGAACTTGATAACAACTCTAAGACATCCCTTTTGCAGGTACTTACTGAACAAATAGTCATTTCATCTAAAATAGTGAATGATTATTATGAACCTGCAAAGCAGAACCTTGGAGACATTGTCTTTAAACTAATCTAGGGGTAAAATGTAATCTTAACTGATAGAAATTTTCCTGCTACTAACAGTTAAGAATTTGAGTTACTGTTACAAGAAATATCTAAGTAGTATTAGAATGTTATTGAAGTAGAACTAAACTCTAAAAGCGTTTCAGATGTTGAATACAAGGTAGTCCACAACAGTCAATTAGAACTTGTTGGTGAAAGTACTCATCTTCTTCCTATTTCATCTGAATAAAAAGACCTCATTGGCAAATATCTAGTAACTATGATCGAAGAAATGAACTTGCTTAAAATGATCTATAACCCCAAATTTATAGCTGAAATCAAGGAAGAAATATTCATTATAAATGGAGAAGAGCTGACTCAATATGTTGCAATCCATGAGAAATCTGATAAGAATCTCGATAATATCCCTGAAATTTGGAAGTTTAAGACAGAACCAGTACTTGAGAACTATAAGCCAGAGAAAGCTGCTTTCTACCTTTTTTAAGCGCTCAGTATTGTTAACTATCTTCATGAAAATAATGTCTATCATGGTAGCATCAGGCCCTTAGCATTTGAAATATACAAGGATTAGAGTATGAAGATCAGCGATCTTCAATATGGAATAAAAATGAAGGACGATTCATCTAAAAATCTAGATAGAGAGATTTATCAATTAAGAGGATTACCAGAATTTTGCTCAGATGATACAAAAAGGAGATTCTAAGCTGGCTCCAAGTTTGCTAGAAAGCATCTAATAGAAGTTGATAGATTTTCTTTAATATCTACTTTTGAACAGGTTATCGATGATCTCAAGATCTTCATTCATGGCAATAAACAAGCTGATCAATTGCTCTTTATGCAAATCTACCAAGATCTTAAGAAAGAGTCTATTGAAAAGACATACATAAAATGGGATAAGTATTTTTAAAATCACACTGAATTCTTCTTCACTCTGCAAGACTAAATGTTGGCTGAGCATAAATTCTTTGCAGTGCCAACAATTTTCACTTATTCAGAGTATCAGGACTTAATCAAATTTGAGCTTAACATGGTAGAGTAAAAACTAGAAACTGGTAATGACAATTAATCTGAAAAGTCTAGTCATTTTACAGCTAGCAAACTTAACCAAGATAATAAATCGGCCCTTAACTAAAAGTTGTTTATTGCTTCATGGATGAAGTATGGCTAATACAGAAACGACAAACTAAAAACATTTCATATTAACCAAAGAATTTTCCAGTACTTACATCTTTGCTATGAATTCCCTGGATTCTACGCAGTTAGAATGAATTCTAAGATCGAAGCAATGACCGAATTAATGCCTGTCTTCAAGAAAACCTTGCATAAAGTTCCCTAAGTATAGCAAGAATTTGTGCTGTACTTCTATGGTTTGACAATGTCATGCTCTGATTAAGAAATCATTAAAGAGGCAATAAAATTTGTGAAGTAATGTGGAAGAGAATCTTATGTGATGTAGGCTTTGGCCTATCTTTATTTTAGAATGGCAAAATTTTTTTTCTATAGAGATGAAAATGACTAACTAATTTGCTATTATCCTTATTCAGATAACCCCCCAGCTGAGTAATATTCCAACTTAGCTCTTAAAGCTATGGAACTTGTTGATGGTAATCAAGATTTTGAGAAAGAAATATATCTGTTTTTGGTTCAGTATTATAATATTTGGGGCTATACATAAAAAGTTAGAGATTTTTTCAAACAAATTAATATGAAGTTCTTTTTCTAAAGCTTGAGGCAAATTTAAGATCTTGATTTAATTGTTGCATATGGCAATCATTTAACGCTACTAGGTAAATTTGATGAGGCAAAATCATATCTGATGAAAGCAGGAGGCATATTTGGCAAAGTATTCGGAAAATCCTTCAACAGATATCTTGACTTCTCTTGGGAACTTGGAAGGAATCTATTGATTTAAGGCAACGCTGATTTCATGCAGCATTTGATGAAAATTAAAGTTGATTCAAAGTACTATTTAGAGTATATAGAACTACTAAAGCCTTTAAATTAGATTGATAAGTTGGTTGAAGCAATCCATGACTTTAATCCACCTTTTGATCATGTTGAGCCCTTCATTTGGCAGTATTTGCTAGCCAAATACTACTAAATTGAATACCAAACTGAATTGAATGAAGAAGAGATTATCTATCAACTAAATAATTACATAACCTACGATCAGCTTAATCCAGAGAAAAACGAGACAGATTAGTAATAGGATCCAAACTTCCCCACAGTTTATAGAGAATTTATTAATTATGTTTGTGACAATACACTTATCTTCTAGGCTTTGACAGCTTATCTAGGTGTAAAAGAGGATGATAGATTATATATTTATGGCCAACAATATAGAATAGACTTTTTGTAGAAAACATTTTAACAAAGTTTGAACTAAGAAGAGCCTGCAGAAGAATGAGAACATAAACTGCAAAATGCATCATCATATAAGCAATAATATAGATCTTTTGTTTAAGAGGGGCACAAGATTAATAAGTAGGCAGTCAAATAAAGCTAAAATGATGACTAAGTTACTAATTATAAATAAGAAATATATTTAGATCAGAAATCTTAATAGGTCCTCGAGTAGCAGCTTCGAGTAAATCTACAGCCAAGAAAAGTAATATAGGAGGATAAATCCTAGATAAAGCAAGATTCAAATTACATTGTCTAGGATGAGGACTTAACTTTAGATAATGGGGTAAAAGTTGCATAATTTGACTTTGATAACGATTTTGAGGATGACTTTGATGACGAGGACCTTGATTGATATATGATCTAAATTTATTTTTTATAATTCACCCCCCAACCTTCAAATTAAATATTGCTAAGTGGGGTTTTGGGGTTTTGGGGTTTTGGGGTTTTGGGG